GGCGATCTAAAATAATTTCTGTTCTGTATGTGACGCCATCAATTCCTCGGAGCATTTAGTTCCATCAGTTAAACACTTACTTTTCTTTTCAAATTTTTAGTTGGGTTTAGTTGGGTCCTAATAGAACACATACGAAGCCCTTAAGTGTCACGAGTCTAAACTAGAGTGGCGCTTGACAGAACTGGTAGAGAAACGACTTACATGTATGTCCCCTGAATAATTGTGGCATCTCGTGCATATCTCGTGACATATCAAGCTTTATGGCTCTGGTTGAAACATTTTTCATATTTCACGTATCAAAAACTTCACAGATCTGAGTCTAGGACGATGAATCTATCACCTCTTGGATTCTTGCCTTTCGTATTGCATAATGTCGATTATATTTTTTATGACGTTACAGCAACAGGGTTTCTGACACTTGACTATACAAGCCGGAAATTTGAGCTCAAGTGGAAGTTACAATGCCTTGTGACTCCATTTTATCCCCAAATTCCATTTATTTACCAGTAACAGCAGAATAGAGTACGATTCTTGGGGATATTACTTGACTTGAAACTGGAATTGCGCACTCGTTCCCAATCTTCCTCTTAACTTGTACTTTTTCTCTTAAGAAGGGGTGTAAGCTCTATTTTCTGTGACTGCAGAATTTTGAAAGCTGAAATAAAATTTGTAATAACTTATATTTTTGGAATACTCGTTTTCAGAAAGGGTAATGGGTTCATGATAACCGTCACGAATATAGGGACATTCAATGACCATTACCTCAAAAAGGGGAAGAGGTGACAAGGTGTGGACTTAAACACTTTGTCTGACTAATCACATGTTTTAATCTGATTCACAAGAGAAAATATTTTCGGTTTAGACCCTTGAATGAGAATTGATAATTCCACATTTTATGAGAAAAAGATGAATTGTATATTTTGTGTCTCTCTTCCTTGCAGGGAAATCAGGCGATTGGTATTACCCAGGATATGAACATCCCGGATACCCCTGGCAATATGGATACCCCTACGGCCATCATAGCACCTACCCGTACCCCTATCATTACCCATACCAACACTTACCCCTACCAGCTGCGACACTCCCTCCTTCCCATCCGGCTGTGCATGTCCAAGGTCCGGTTGTGGTCTCACATCCGGCCCAACAACCCTACCCCTACCCTTACCACTACCCCTATCACTACCAGTATCCCTATAACTACCCATGTCACTACGGGTACAACTGCGGTTACCCCTACGGGTATGCTGTTCCCGCTCCTGCTGAGACTAAGGAAGAGAATCGCAAGGAGGAGAAGAACGGGAGCAAAGGAAAGGAGGACGACAAAAAGAGCAAAATAAACCATTAAGAATATTGTTCTTATAGTTTGATCTTGGTCAAGAGAACAAAATAAATGAATCATGTATCAATGAAATAGTTGTTTTATTATATCATGTATTCATTGCATTGGAGTTAACCATATCGCTCGATCTGACTGATTGGCTAGGGGCACTCTCTCATTCAATCAGATCGTTGGATGGATTTTTTACGTTATTGTTACAGCTGTTGCGGGGTCTGGACACTAGACTTGTTCGGATCCGCCACATATTTCAATTTATAATTACTCTGCAAGCGATCGGATCTTCGGAGAGTTTCACTACCGACTGTATCAGACCCCCAATATTTTTTTTAGCCACATGATTCAAGGGGTTTTTTTATATAAATATATATATCTGGACCATCTTGGATTCTTTTTTCAAAGGGAGGATTTTGGCCAAAATTTAAACGTTTCAGCTAGCTGCCTTTTTAGTCAAACTAGACCAGTAAAAAAACGTTTGGCGATATTTTAGAGTTGTGAATTGGCTACTTTGTTCAATTACAAGATTTTGATGTTGGTGACCTTCCAAGATTTTCGGAAGGGGATACATGACTTTTAGTCAAAATTGACTGAACGTATGCCTGTAATAGAAACCAGAGAATCTATCTGTAAAAGATGTTTGAAAGCGTTTTGAAGTTGTGATTGGGCTTCCTAGACCATTTTCAAGGATTTTGATTTCTGCCGGTATCATGATTTGTGTCAAAAGTTTTAGATATATATGTGTGATTATCATCAAAGAACACAAGAAAATGATTTTTTGGTAATGTTGAATGGGCTATCCAGATCTTTTATAAAGATCTTGATGTTATTCTCCGAGCTTGGATTTTTTTTCAAAGGGGGTGGCCTCAAAAATTTTGTGTCAATAGCTTAAATTTTCATCTGTGTTTTCGTTATAGTCGTTTAAGACCAGAAAATGAAAATATTTGAAAATTTGAAAATTCCACATTGTTTTTAAATTGGCAAAATAGGCCCAAATGACTCCTAAATTGATTTTTCAAAGAGGTTAGCCTATGGCGTGATTTTGCTGAATATTTTTTTCTCTGTTTGTTTTCGGAAAAAAATAGGCTTAACGTGTGGAAAATCTCTGAATGAAAAACCTTTTCTAAACTATAACATAATTTATAGTCGCCAAATTTGATTTTTCCAAAGGGGTGAGCGCCTGACATAAATAAAACTTGTCAAATTTCTTTATTGTTTTGTTTTTTGGACAGTAGGAGCACGTTTTCTGTTTTTGGGCAAAACAGATGCAGAAACAATCTTTGGTGAAGTTTCTGATAGAAAACAAGCTTTTTTAGATGATAAAAAATTCAATTTTACAATAGTCGCCAAATTGGTTGCCGCCTGTATCACAGACGCTCTAAACTGTTTGTATCAGAGCGTCTGCGAATTAGTGTACAATAAAGCCTTAAGCTTTTTTATTACGGCTAAATAACCTTTATAGTTTCTTTGATTTTCTCCAAAATGGCTGGACCTGATTAGCTACATGTGTGGTTTTTTGGCCGTAAATATCATGATTTCCGAATGTTTTTTTTTTCACTCTAGAACTGTACGTCGGCTAGAATGCACAATACGCGGCACTGTGGTGTCTGCGGCGATTGGAAGACGCTAGAAAACCAGTTGGAAAATTTACAAACAAATACTGGCCTTAAAGGAATTCTCTTAAAGCATTTTTTTTCTGTTCAGAAGACGGCTTTAAAGTTCGAACTGCTTTTTCATTGTTTATTATAAACGAACCTTGCCAACTCCCTTCTGTGAATTTTGACATGTCACTGCGCTCAACTGTCACGCACACGTAAGAATTAGGCCAATCGTGAGGCGGATAAGAAACCCGCAAGAAACCTGCCTATCAGAAACGGTCACATATATCCTTGAGACTCTGCAGGGTATTAGAACGAGCTTTTGTGCACTAATTTGCAGACGGACAATACAAATGGTTTAGACGAGTGCGTGGGCGGGCTGCAACGCAGGCTATCAAATTGGGTATTTTCAAAAAGATATTTTCCTAAAAAATTTGAAATTTCTCCATAATTTGTTTTTTTGGCAATATAACCCTAGAAAAAAAGTATGTTAAAGTTCAGGGCTCGATAGAAGATAAGCCTATCTATATTGATTTTTCAAAAGGGTTAAGATTTTTTTCATGGTTTGTTATTGGCAAAGTAAGCGTAGAAACAATGTTTGGTAAATTTCTGGGTATAAAACAAGCATTTTTAAACCATAGGAATATCAATTTTACATAACCCACGATTTTGCTGAAAATTCTGAAAGTTCTCCATTGTTTGTTTTTGGGGGAAAAAATAGGCTTAAAGATTTTGCTGAAAAATTTATCAGTAGACTATAAAAAATACAGATTATATTTACTTGCCAAATTGCATTTTTTCAAAGGGGTTAACCCATGATTTTGCTGACAAAATTTGAAATTTCTTCATTGCTTCCTTTAGAGAGGGTCGTGAAGGGGGGTACCAAATCCCAGTTCCCAACCTAAATTTGGCCCAAATCCCAGTTCCCAGGCTAATTTTTGCCAAAATCCCAGTTTAACGAATAACGAGTGTGGCTCACTCGCTCTAAGCATTCCAATTGTCTCATCCGTTCGCAGTATAAATGCTGCTTTCTTCGGGTTACCTGGTTCGACATGGTCCACATAGTACAACTCGATTGAATGGTCCGAAAAACCCCGCTTTGCAGCGGAATGTTCAATTCCACAACTGTTTACAACTGTTTTTTCCAATTCCTTTGGACTACAGTTTAAATCCAACAAAAGTTTAGAATTTCGGGGGGAAAAAACGGCGTTATTCGCATTGACGTACTTGATTTCTAGTACCATTTTGCGAGAAACCTTTTGCGAAGCCATTTTTATCTTCCCTTCACAATATCTTCCCGCCATATGCAAACTTGCAGAACTTGTCCGCTGACCAGGAAAACTGACAAAACGTAACTATGCAACCGTGTGAGCCTGGTAGCTAGACCGCGGGCGCGAAGGCGAAAAATACTGATTTCACGGTCTCTACTGAGAGGTCTACTGAGGAGTGCAAGGTCTATTACTACGAAATTTTATTTTTCTATTTCAAAATATTGGAGCAAAGACCGCTGAAGAAAAGAAATCCCATTCCCATTTTATAATTGTTCATCCCATTCCCAGTGGCTAAATCCCAGTCCCAGTGTTTAAATCCCATTTTCCCAGTCCACAATAAGGCTAATCCCAGTTCCCATTTTACCCCTTCACGACCCTCTTTAGAGCAATACAGGTCTAGAAATTAAGTCTTTATAGGCTACACACTTGTTGATATTGTATTAAGTCGCTAAATATAATCTTGGTTGGTTTTGTCGGGTTCATTTTATTTTGGTTAGGTATATATCTTAGTAACTTAGGGATCCATCTATTCAAAGCCCTTAATGCAAATCCAAAGATGGACATACGATACGGGACATGGGGTTTGATATTGTTTCAAGAAGTGAATATTAAGTGACAAGTCATTGCCAAAATATATATTTATTTTCCTCTTGTCGGGAAATTAAGTCGCTGGTAAAAAAGGATGAACTTGATAAAACATCATCTGACTCTTGGATGCTTCCCCGGGAGGGCATTACCTTATTTGGCCCTTTTTTGGATAAAAAGAGTATGATTTTCAGAGAGTTGGGTCTAAATAAACATTTGGGTGGGAAACTTTAAAAGAGTGTGACTGATTGACTATAAAAGGTCTAAATTTGTACTACAAAAATCTTTCCTTTTAGAATTCTAATTCCATGATGTCAGTTTAAAAAATAGTTAATTCTCTATACGAAACAAAATGAGTTTTGGCCAGAAAATAAGGTCTTATAATTTTTTTGAAGGCCATGGCTGCGCGTCTTTAGCTAAATTTCCCTTGAGTGTCCCAAGGGATGCTTGCCGTCTAACTAAATGTCTTAAGGTAGCAAAATATTTACAGGGTGTTCTTCAGTGTACTATTTTCTTCACATCATTTCCTCTCTATCTTTTTGAGTGAATTGAAGAGAAATCCTCCAAATTGTTTATTTCTTTCCCATGGGACAGCATGTTGGTGCGCATGACGGAGCACAAACTGGCATCGGGGGAGGGGGTGGTGGTGGAATATACACTGGCGGAGGAGGGGTGCAGCATTGTTGTGGGCAAATTCTCATACAGTAGTGGATGCAAACAGGAGGGCACTGAGGGGGTGGAGGTGCTGGAAGACCGGGGCATCCTGGTGCACCGGGTGGTCCCATGGGTCCCATGGGTCCCATACATCCTGGAGCACCGGGGAATCCACGACATCCAGGCAATCCTGGTGGTCCCATGCATCCTGGTTGTCCTGGGGGTCCTGGCTGTGGGCAAGGCATTGGTACTGGAACGGGGCATGGTGGTGGTGGGGGAGGAGGTGCGCAGCATGATTGTGTGCAGGCCGGAGCACAAGTGGCAGGACATCCGAAGCCACATGGGTTAGCATCACGCTTCTCTACAGTTTCTGTAAATAAAATAACACGTTTGAGGAGGCGGAAAATGTATGAAATCAGGAGCCTATGAGTAGGAGCGACAACTTCAATATACCCATATGTTACTGCGGTGTTACCAAAACTACTATTTTTAGAACAATTTTTCTGCGAATTTACATCATCTTTAAGTCGCACAAACCAGCCAGCAGAACCTATAGACCTGAAATCTGGTGGTAGTTTTTGACCTTTTAACGGCGTTTAATTTTCCTATTATTAGTGTGCTTTAGATGCGCTCATAGACAGAAGGAGCTTCCATTTCCGCGAGAAAAAGTGCTCTAAATTGTATCTAAAAATAAACCGATCGGAGAAAAAGCCTTTTACATGCCTAAAAGGGGCGTTTCTCGCTCTTGGTTTATGGGCTCCTGATAAAAATATATACATGTAACGGAGAAACTAGAGAAAACTTTTGATGTGATTACCAGTAAAAAAAGTTATACGTTTGTACGTTTTCTAGTTGATCTTACCATACCAACTATAACTCTTTAATTTCCTCAGTGACGACTTGCAAATTAAACAAGAGGGATACAATTGGTGTGATAATTAACTATATAGATAAATATGGATTCAAAAATCGCTCTGGCAGTCAAATGTAAAGGTCTTTAGTGTCTACCTGGCTCATCGTCCACTTCTTTTGTTATTTTGACAATTTTTCCATGGTGTAGGTATGCTTCTGTCACTGCAGGCAAGAAGACAAATTTGTTATGATTTATGAATAACAGGCAGACAGCCACCACAAAGCATGCGCGGTGCTAGCCTCACAAGATCCATTAGTACATTGTACCAAACGACCCCCCTAGACTATAAAAACACCAATAAAAATGTCCCAAAATTTGCATTTTTCACGAGGGGTTAGTTCAAAAATTTAAAATTTCTCCACCCTTTCTTTTTGGCCAAAATGGACTTGGAAAAATTGTTTTTTGCTGTTTTAGGTAGAAAACAAGCCATTCTGGACCACAAAAACATCAATTAATGAAAGTCGAAATATGGACATTTTTCATTAAGGGGGTTAGTAAATGGTCTAGGTCAAAACTTTGTAATTTTTCCTTTTTTTAGTGAACATAGGCGTAAAAAAAGTGTTTTGTACTATTGTAGATAGAAAACAAATCACTCTAGACTATAAAAAACATCTACTTTTAATGGCCGCAAAGTGTTATTTTTCCAAAGTCGCAAGATGGACATTTTTTCGAATTGTTTAGTCTAAGGTTTTGGTTATGGTTTTTGAAATTCCTTAATTTTTTCTTTTTATTTCAAAAAAGGTGGAGAAATTATGTTTGGCGATGTTTTAGATAGAAAACAATTTACAATTAGTCCATCGTTTAGGTAAAGAATTCTAATTTTTCCTTTATCGTTTTGTTTGCAAAAAGTGGCCTTGAAATAACATTTGGTGATTTTTTAGTTGAAATTGTTTTAATAAAAAAGTAGCCTTTCTATACTATAAAATTGTCGATTGTGTACAAAGGTTTAGTGCAACCTCTCAGCTTTTCAAGAACTTTCCTTGTTAAAAGTTTGCTAATTCTTCCTTGATTTGGAGAGAGATTTAACTCTGCGTGACAAGAGCTCGAGGGGGAGGGGAGGGAAGAATTTAGACCCATGAAATCGCGCTGAACAGGAACCCTCATGGGCCGCTCATAGCCTTTGTACATCAGCCCTCCTTTGAACCTCAACTGCATTCACCGTGTACAGTTCTTCCCTTCTTTTTTCCCTTAAAACGCCAGCTTGTTTCTTAAGAACTCTCTGAGGAAAAGATCTACCTATAAACAAGCAATAAGTCACCCTCAACAGTATAATTTAAGAACTAAAATTTATTTCCTATTCTTACACAATTATCGTCAAAAGTGTTGGGAAGGTTGCTTTTTTGACCTCTTTTTTTCCTTCCTTCCCTTCCCCGTGCCCGATGTTGAGCAAAACGTTTATGTTTGTGCACGTAAATTATCTGTATCCCAACTACCATTATCTTTGATTGTAAGTCCTTCAACAGGTCTACCCCAACCCGGAATATTTTAATCCGATTTTCCCCGGGCAATCTTGTATAATAAAGGTGGCTGGTACCCTTACCTCCTCATTGCAAAAGAACAGCTAGCCTAAAGGGAAATAAACGTCCGCTGGATCATAAAAATTGTTTGTTCCTGGTGCAAGGTGCATGGTAGTCTGGACGAACTTTAAAGGTCTAACTATAAAAGAAGGCCCTATACTTCTCCTTTAAAATACGCCATTCCCTAGATTAATCTCCTTTTCACATTGTCTAGCCCAATAGAATTAACTCAACCAGAACCTCTTGAAACAGGTAACGCTGTGTGCAGTTTCGTTTCAAGACCGGTCGGGTAACAATTATTACCGCTGGCAATTTAGAGCTGTTATATCGATTTCTATAGATATTAAACACAGTGTTTTTCGTTACCTCTTTTTATTGATGTGTTAGTCTTGATACCCTTATGGTTCTTAGTAGTTCTGGCGTAGTTCCCACTGAGATATAAATACCGTGTTTAAACACAAATTTGACAGCAAATTTTCTGTTGTACGTATCAGATAGGATCACTGCTTTTACGCCCAAGTGTAGCCATAATAATAATATTAACTATTATTAAAAGAAAAACGAAATTGGCAAAAATATCATTTGAAACTCTACCGAACAACCATACATGGAATAACATTTCGGTAGCTTTCAAATGAATGGTCACACCTACGAATTTCATCCACGGACTTAAAAGTTAACCTACTCGAGGAACCAAGCCCCGGGTGGTTTGAGTGATCATGCACGGTATGAAATAAAAAAGAAGAGGTAGAATTACCTTTTCTAGCTTCCAACGAAGCAATAAACAGGAAAACGCAGGCAAGTGTTAATTTAAACATGACCCAAGTTTCTGTGGAAAGAAACAATCAATGGCTTGTTGTCAATCACCAGGCGACCCACGCATAACCTGCCAACATCTTTTTCTACTTGAGTGACTCGGAAAAGGCGGGAAAAATATCAAGTCAACAATAATAAATCTTTATTTTTATAAGTTATGTTTCGACAAAAAAATAGCACCTAAGAATAGCATCATTATTATTATTTTCATTTACGGTCATTGCTGACCAATAAAAGATAATCTAGGGTAAGGAGGGGCGTATCTCGCCATCGTGTTTTTAAGTATTTGTTTAGAAATTTGTATCGATGTTTCTTTGGATGTTTTCGTTAAATTAATCTACACCTTCGTAAAGTCTACATTTCCAGGGTTCAAAGAATCGCTTTCACCCAAACGAACACATGATTTTAAAAGGAAGTTTACTTACTTCGAACTTACAGGGTCACCTGTAAAACCATCTATGCGAAAATACCTCCCATATAGATTACAGATCAGTAGATTTAAGACGGTCTATAGTTCGAGTGCATAGTGGGGACTGCTATTCTAAAACGATTCGATCAAAACCCAACTAAACATTTCTAACGTGATATTATTTTTTTTGGTCGTTTACCTTAATTCGATATCGATGCTGAGGAACGTTGTTGAAAGGTCAAGTTATGTGCAGTCTCTTCTGACAGGAGCGTTTGATGGGTGGGTGAGTGTATTGATATACCAAACGTTGGGCGGACAAATTTGTTCAAGACCTGCGCGGAAAATAATATTTGTCAACACCATTACGTCATGGCCGACCGATCCGGTTTTTTGTTTTTCTCCAAATTGTTAGTTCAAGCAAATAGTGCTGGCCCTTGACTGAAGCGAAACAAATTAAGTGATTTTATTAGTCTAAGAAGGCTTTTCAAAGATCCTGGTCCCTTCTTGCCGCTCAATTGAACCGTATACTTCCATCAATTGATCAATATCACGGGTCATTAATTATTAATGGCGTTGGAGGAAATAAGAAACTTGATCCTCGATATTTATTGTACTTGCAGTTTTCCTTGACAAATGAAATCACAAATTTTCTTCTGCCTCTGGGAAACAAGCAAATTATTGACAACATTTGTTTTGAAACAACTTGTGGTTAAGCTTATGTTAGGTAATTCCTGTCAAATGAAGACCACTCAAGCGTCAAATCTGGCGGGCAAAGAGATAAGTAATTCTTACAACAACATAATGAATGTTTTACAAGTCGCGTTAACCAGGAACAAAAGCGCTTAGAAAAAGTTTGCACTTCAAACACTCTTTTTTCTTGGGTAGGTCTAGGAACATTGAAAAAGACAGGTAAGATATATATCAAACAGTTTTTTTAATGGTTTCTAGTTATGGTAATTGTATTTGTGGTCAAAAAGTGGTGTGAAAAACCTGCTATTATGTTTTAAATAGCCGTGTTTTGTTGGGTAAATATAGCAGCTAGGAGAATTATAACATCCTCACCAAATATAAAACAAAGGTAAGAATAACTGCCGCTCGAACTCGCGGGGGTAAAATAACGGTCTAATGTATTACAGTAATCATGTGCAATTTCATAGTTATCCCTTCCTTGCAAGGGCTTGAACCATGAATACATTACGGCACATTGTGTACGAAAATTACAGTATTTAGTCCAAATTTATCCTCCTTTTAACGTTATAAGGAAAATCTGCTATCATAATTTTATGTACTTGTTAGAATTACAGAAAAGCAAGTGTATCTTTGCTAATGAAAATCAATCGACAAATCGCAACTTCTAAACTCTCGGAGTTTTATTTCTTCTTACATATCCTTGGTGATAATTGAGATTTAGTTTGGAGAATTGCAGAGTATATCCGAGAAAGTTAAAAAAAACTATATCTCCAAAGTTTTTGATAATGTCTCGTGTAAGCTACTCAATAACTCCCTTAGTAGAACAGTAGATTGACTGTCCAATGTATGCATCAAAACAAACCGTTTCCTGTTAATAAGGTTTAAAGATTAACCAAAGCTGACCATTCGAAAGCCACTTGTTCGTAGGAATCACGAATCTAGAACTTTTTCACGAATCACGAACTCTTTAGGGCTAGCACTTCGGACACCAACTTTTTAAATATTTCCCGTGGATCAATTACGCATAACACTTACCCCCAACCGAGACCCAGCAACGCCACTGCAATTGTCGACAAAACTATCGAGAAATTAGTCACATAGTTACTAGTTCGGAAAACAAAACAGTCTAGACGCCAGAACCAATGTTGTTCTGTCGCTGTTGTTGTTGTTGTTTCCTGTATAAGCTACAGAAGCGACAGAACATTTTTAGGGGGGAGTGGGGAGGCAATGATAAGAAAGCGTTAGTAATATGTGAGAAATTACGTTGAACGTAGTCTGCGTAGCATGGAGGTTTTGTCGAGCTGGCGCACGAGCGGTAGCCTCCCCGCAGACGTCCTTTGGGGTTCGTTTGTGACGCATTCATGAATGCGGGACAAACGAACCCCAAAGGACGTCTGCGGGGAGGCTACACGAGCGGCGAGGCCGCGAAATTCGCGAGAAAAATAAAATTTTTCAAGTTGCTCTCGCCCCAATCTCCTCGCGGTTTCTCTGCCCTCGCCCGCCTTTATTACTTAACGCGCCTAACCAAAACCGCCATGCTACGCAGGCTACGTTGAACGTTGAACGTCTTCAATATTGTTGTCGTCGATTGCAGTATCTTAACACAAAGCTAACTCGTTTATGGTTAGATATGAACAAAATATCCAAGTCTGTTATCTAGTTATTTAATAAAAGGTGAGACGCATATAATTAATCAAAACTAAAATTCTTAGAATATAGTGCTTACTACCATAGTTATGTTAACATATATCAAAAGGTTGGGTTTTTTATTATTTTAGTAGCGGCAACATGTTGACAGTTACCAGCTAGTATTCAGAAGACCTGATCGGCTCAGTGTATGTTTTGCTTTCCCAATTCAGACCACGTGATGTTCCCACAAGGCAATTTGCCTTTTGTTTTTTCCTGACCTATGCATGCAAATGCACGTGGGTAAGACGAAATGTTATTTCAGTTCTCTAGGGTGCATTTCGTGGTCCGAAATGGAAACGCAAAAAAGGCCTATTCTTGGTTTGCAACCACGTGACAAGGCGGCCTTGTTGGGGGTCAATAAAATAAATTTGTATCCGAAGAATTTACATGAAAATAGTATCCGGAATTGTTTTCAAGTTCAAACAGATGCAGTAGTTACTCTACAAAGTTTAAAATTAACGCAGGGGTGTTGAATTCAAACTTAGAAAATACTTTACAGCTAGTTCTGAAGTTAAAACTGTTTCTATATTAGTTATGTTGATCAAATTTTTAGTTTATAGGTAAGTAACAAGCAGTCGTAAGCTAGAGGACTAGAGGAAAACTAGAGGAAAATCAGTCTATTAAGCTTGAGTTTATTTCAAATGCGTGTAAGAGTAAAAGGATCTAAACCATGGTGTAATTTCTATTTATTTTTTTAGATATGGACCTTAGAATTATCCTTGCATCTTGCCTTGTGGCGTTAGCATGCAGCAAATCAATCGGTAAGACATCCATCTTAAGTCACGTGACTAATGACGTTAAAGTGTACAACATGAAGGCAGTATTCATGCATGTAACCTTGAAGCAAATGTAAAAGTAAAGAAAATCTTTACCTGAATAAGCCTGTCTGTCTGATCGGGCGTTATGTCAGTAGAAGGTAAACATGTCAGGTAATTAAATATAACGGTTTTGTGCCTATCGAAAATAATTAAGGTCAAAGTAAGATAACACTTAACAAGACTTTGGTTATTCCGGATATCACAAAAACCGAATCCAATAATTGTTTTACGATACGGTGTTTTTAAGATAACAACGACAAATACACTGCCCCGTGGAACACTGTTTCACATTGCTTTTGCATGAATGCATTGCTCGCACAAGCTACAGATTAGTCAGCTATCTGAAAGCAAATAACTAAGGATGCACTGATTTCCAACATTAACTTTAGGCTCTGAAACAATGAGAGGACAGACAGTGAGCGCAATGTATAATAATGTTATTTATTGCTTTTTTTATTTTTTCATTTAAAGAGGAGAAGGAGAAGCGCGAGGCAAGCCCTTGTGGCTATGGATGCCCGGCAGTCTGTGCTCCAGCTTGTGAACCGACATGTTGCGCACCACCACCACCCCCACCCCCACCACCATGCCCCGTCCCAGTACCAGTGCCATGCCCACAGCCAGGACCCCCAGGACAACCAGGATGCATGGGACCACCAGGATTACCCGGATGTCGAGGATTCCCCGGTGCCCCCGGATGTATGGGACCCATGGGACCTATGGGACCACCCGGCGCACCAGGATGCCCCGGTCTTCCAGCACCTCCACCTCCACCCTGCCCACCCATCTGTATTCACCACTGTATGAAAATCTGTCCTCAGCCATGCTGTGCTCCTCCTCCCCCAGTATACATCCCACCTCCTCCCCCTCCCCCTATGCCAGTTTGTGCTCCATCATGTGCTCCAGCCTGTTGTAAATAGGAAGAGACCAAGATGAGAACCTGGGGAAAAATCCTGATTTACTGACTTGCCCTATGGGTGCAATAGCTTTACAAATTTGAATTTTTTTCCACGTGAGGCGTCTTCTTGTACGTTAAACTAGTATTAAATATTGAATATTTCAATTTCCATATCTGTGTCAACTGTATATATCTTAATTATGGCGTGAAACAGCGAAGCTACGATTACGAAAAAAGTGGATGAATACTTGTGATCATACTGACACACTGATCAAATAGATGACTTGATTTTATATATGGTCAAGCCCATCATTCTTTGAAGAAGACTAATAAACTAGGAGCCCATCAGTACACTCGCAAAAACCAGAGAGTAGATAAAAGTATTATCGCCTGGGTTCATTTAGCTGTCCCGTTGGGGATGCAAAAATCTCGAACAAATGCAGCTCCAACTCACAGTCCTCGCATTCGAAGTCAATAGGGAGTATAAGCAGCAACGTTTTTGAGCAAGGCTGGTACAGAAGTAAGCCTTTTTCTCTTTTTAACAAGCCAGTTGGCACCACCAAATTTGTGTTGCTAAGTGTTGTTTTACTCTTAAAGAGACGATTTGCCTCAAAATTTGTTCAAAATCACGGCTCAAGAGTGCAAAAAGTCCACTTCCGGTTGATGTGCGTCGCTCCTGGCGTCGCTCAAAAACGTCGCCGCTTAAGGTTCTTCTGAAAATAATGACAGAAAATGGAATTTATTCATATCTAATGAAGGTAATTTCCAACACCTTTTTGTTTGTTTATTCTTCGTCCGCGCCCTCATCAAAATTGCGCGCGGGTATCACACGCGATGGCGCAATTATTTCGATGGAAACACCCCATTACTGGAAAAGGTCTGAAGGTATCTAGTTGCGTTGTCCTTCGCCGATCATAGCAAACGTAACAGCAATTGGCACACGTACGCCAACCCACGACCTGGCCAGAACCTAACGCATGCGCAAAGCCATATCATCCGGGCGTTAGCAGACAGCTCTCTTGATCCAGGTGCGTCCTTATCAGGGATCATCAAAATATGAAAGTCCACAGTGACAAACCAATCAGCATGGTATGGCTGTCTGATCCATGAACCGCGGACTCTAGCTCCTGGAATAGGTTCAATTCAATGTTAATGACAGATAGCCTGCCTATTTTACATACTAAACTGCTCGCTTTTCCAGGGTAGAGGATTACTTTCACATTTAAGATCGTGTTTCGATTCCTGGGCAAGCGCGAACTATATTTTGCGTTCACACCTCGTTCCCAGAGTCCGCATAGCTTTGTCAAGCTGCAAAAGAGATTGCGTTCACATAAGCTCATATGGGAGGGTCTCAATGGGGTTAACCGATAGGCGTAAAACGGCCAAAATTTAGTCGATAGCGATAAAAATCGAAAAATTTTAACCGTTAGCCGTAAATAGGGTAAAAAAGAGTTAACCGTAAAAGAAATTGTTCCCTAGATATGCTACTTTTAAGGAAAGTACTTAACTCACTGGTTGCGCTTTTTATTTCCCGGCTAGTGTGACTCCGTACGCACTTAGGCGAAGCGCCTTTTACGTGTTGACCAAGACCTAGGCTCCATTTCCGGCGCTCTCTTGAGGGACTAATTTTTTCCATAGCGAAAGTGTGGCTTCTTGCTGGGGATTAATATTTGCAATTTTCAGAAGGTCGTACCCTCGAAACACTAGTGAAACAACACGCAGAGATGTCACTGTTTGTAAAACACGTTGCCGATAAACAACATTTCCCTGTTTTTCTCTGACGCTACGGTAGACATTGCCATGCCTATTCCCTGTACGGTGTCTTCCCACGCAATCTCGGTCAAGGCATTTCGGTGGCGAATTCGCTAGGACCACGTGACCCGAAAGGCATTAGCCGCGCGGAATAATGCGGCCTACGGACAAGGCAACGGCAGACAGTCGTTCCGTACAATCCCTCGTTATCATTAAAAACACTGGACACGGGAATTTTGTCATTGGCCGTTTTCACACTAGAGCTAGAAATGGATCATCCGTCTGAGACTAGCCTGTGTACAGTCGCGCCCTCCCCACAGACACCCCTTCTCCGATTTTTTCTAGGGGGAGGGGATGGCTGTACACTGGCTATATGGAACGGATAATCCCGTCTTTAAAATTCAGGCAGATTGTTCATTAAAAATTAAAACTATTCCATTTTCAGACTAAGATGTATTACCTATCTGACGCCTATCGTCAAACGGATAACCCATCTCACACGAATAATCCTTCTCTAGTGTGAAAACGGCTATTTCCATTATAATGAATGTCGCGCCCCGGCCTTGTGTTGGGCGTTCGCGTGTCTGCTTTTGCTTTTTCACAAACTGAAGATTATTGTTAAATTGACTATTGACATTTCTATGTGTAAAATAATATTAGAAGTGGAATACTTTATTATTATTAAAAGTATGATCTATCAAATGTTAAAATTTTTCAAAAGAATAGCTTATTTCATCCCGAGATGATCCGAAGACCTTTATTTTGATTTAAAGATACAAAGAAATACAGGTTAATTAGTATTTAACTTTTTGAAACAAGAGAAGTTAATTTTTAACTTTTTAGTTAACCGTAACTGAAAAAAATTAACCGATAGCCGTAAAAGAGCCAAAATTTTAGCCGATAGCCGAAAAGTCACCACCCCATTGAGACCCTCATATGGGTTTAACCACTCACATTGGCTCATAACGGTCACGTACTGGTTTCATTACTTTGTTGAAGTACTCGTCACTGTAAGAAGTAATATTTACTATTTATCTCACCCATTAATCGCGAAGGTTCATGAGCAAGTATTAGGCATGAAAATGTTTATTTTCCTGAGACCACTGAGCGCGTTTTACGAGTGCTCGAGAAACGCGAAACCTCAAACGAGTACTACGAAAGCCCGCGCGCGATACGCAAGCGCCAATCGAGAGACTGGGTTCTAAAGGATACCAAAATGGCGACGTATTATAGACCAGGCAGAAAACGTGTGTAGTAAATTGGATCAAAAGTAACATAATTAGACTTTCTGGAACTCGGATTTGTGCTTCAGCAGTTCTTTTACTTACACGTCAACTCTTGTCTTGGCACTGGGTCTTGTGAGGTAAGCTTAAGCTTACACTGTACATGTATGTTTATTATGTAGCTTAAAATAGCCTTAAGTTAAGCTTGAATAAGCCTAAGCTTAAATTTAAGACTATTTTGCAGAAAACGATGGTCATATAAGCAAGTAACATTGGTGAGGGTATTGTAAAAAGGATTAAACTGATTGTTTAAATCATCAAGTAAATCCAGGGGATCTAATACAAATTAAGCTGAAACATGAACTTTGGCAGGTACAGAACACACGTCCCAGGTCACAGGTAACAAGTGCAGGTAGGGTCGTAGCTAGGGGGTGATTCTGGGGTACTTGGACCTCCCCTCCTGTCATTGTTTTATTTCCCTATAATAATTCAGGTGGTGAAAATCCACAAATCCAAAGAAACCACAGGGGCCCACACAATCTGTGTGTGTAACTGATTGTTATTTTATAACAAATGTATTGGATTTACCCGTTTTGCTTGACCTATAGCAATATATTGCTAAGTTTGTATGCAGGTATGTACCTGGTTTGTATGTAAATCAATCTTAAATAAACATTGAATTACCTTACCTGTGGTATGTTGTCATCCTTTTGCCTCAAAAGCAGTTCTTTGAGCAATTTTGAAGGATTTTTAGTTCGCCGTTTACTGTTCCATATAATAGAAGGACAAGGGAGGAATTCATTGTTTATTTAAGATTGATTTATAGACAAACTTAGCAATCTTTCACTATAGGTCAAGCAAATGGTAAATCCAATACATTTACTATAAAATAACAATCAGGTTACACACACAGATTGTGTGGGCCTCCTTTGAAGAAACAACATGCAGTGCTCGTTACATACTGCATTTGCAGGACTGAACATCTGCAGTGGACCATGTTCCTGTTCGTAACTCAAATTACGAAGGTCAGAGCAGTTTGACATCCATTGGTTTATATAAACAACATATTTGATCCTTCTCAGGATGTGAATATGATGCCATTGATACACACATCATGTTACGTGCACGGAACTTCGTTACCAAAATAGTATGTTGGCGATCCCCGGTTGGTGTTCCTGCTTGTACACATTGAACATTTTTATGATCATTTTATTTCCCCATATTCAAACATCTTTGCCACTCAGCATCACGCCACCTCTTACTAAAAGATGTTGTGACTGTAGAGCAGTGTTACAGATGCAAAAGTAAAGTGACGAACAACGACTGTAACAATGGTGATATTTGTAAACACACTGTAAACAGGGACTCTAATTTAAATGATAATACAACATGGGCACTGGGCATCAAATGTACAGGCCAATATGTTTAATTAAAGCTCTACAATTAAATGTTCAACAAATGCTTATCTGGCTGGAAATGCTGCATAGTCCCAAAAACAACTGGTCAGTTTCAGCAGAGTAAAATGTATAAAACTTCCATATCGCCACATGTTTTTCTTAACAGAGCAACACACTCAGCAAAAAACAAACATGTGTTTTATCCTTATGTCCATATATGGCCATACAAAAAGCTACAAACCAAACCGGTGGCACATGACTTTGATGAGACTTTCCTTAGGAGTGTGAGCCTTGTAACAGCATTGATACTAAAATAGAGTAATTTTTGTTACGTGGAACTTAATGCATCGATGCAGCTACGTGTATTTGGTAGGCTTGTCCTTCCCCCCATGCTCACTGCTCATCCAGAAAGTCTCACTTCTAGTAAAACACAGATTGGATGTCGAAATGCCAATCTGGTAAGTACCCTGGGTGTGACACCCCCCTCTCCTGCCCTTTGAAAAATCCTAGCCACACTCCTGCCAGTTCATTGATTTGTTGATAAGTATCTGAAATAAGCTAAATCTCTATTTCAGATTTTTATTCCTCATGGTCCATGTTCAACTCTTGGCCATGAAGGAATTTTTTTCCTTTTTTTCAAATCACATTTT